AGCAAGGGGTAGCGACTTTATTTAGTGGCGAGTGACAGACGTGTAGCTTTGTGTAGGGATAACGCTTACCAAACGAAAACCCATCGTGTCCTAGAACACTGCCGCCGAACTATTCGCTGGAATGGGTAGATCCCGAACCACCCACCTGGCATCACGAGGTTGTTCGGCGAGCCAGCCTGCATCTCCTGAGGTGTCACCCACAACCTGCAAAGATTTAGTACGATTCATGTATGTTACGCACTTGCGACTACGGCCCGTCGCAGATAAGATTTGGCGGCTGTTAAGCAATTTGCCCGTGCGCTGCTTGGCATGAGGCGGGCGGTAGCGAACTATTGAGCACGGGGTAGTGTTATCTCACCATCAGAAATAATGCGTAACGCCCGTGCTCTACGACAACCGATCTGTGAGCTTACAACCTATGAATTATTGTTTTAAGGGAAGAGGGCTGTCGGCTTCTCACTAACCACCGAAGAGAAGTGTAGGACTGAATTTGTCCGACCACTAACCGTTGATTTATCTGGTATGAATGATTCTGAAGCACTTGGAAAGGGTCACCCAATAAAGCTCAATGAATCAAGCAGGTACGCAAACCATCGCATCACGTCAAGGTCCATTCTCGCACGCGCGGGTTCGAGCCTACGTAGGAGACCGGGTGACCCTCGCGGCATCCGTAGCCCACGCGCGACTGTTTTGGGGTTGCGCGGTAGTGAAGCGTCGGTACTACGTACCGGAGTACTGCTTATATCTTTTTCCGTTGCATGCGCAACATCCGCCTGAGAACTGAGTTGAGCATTATCACTTGGTTCTCACCTGTTCATCTCACGGTTGCAAACATGTTGACGCTAACCGACACTGGGAACACTTCTGCAGTCAGCAATAATCAAAGAATAGAAGGCGTCCGGGATCTTTACACTGAAGCGATCTGACTGCTATGAATGAAATCAATATCTTCATCGTGCTCTTGCGTATATGACTACTAGAGTCCACAGTAAATTCCTTTGTCAAGTACCTACGTTATCACAGGTTCATGATGGCAGATCCAGCCTTCACGATATATGAACGGATTTCAGCGGTCAAGCGTAAGTCATTGTTAATGCAGAAGCCAGGTTACACGAATTGATCAACTATCCATGGTTCCTCGCTATACAATGTCAATGGGAAATCAGCTGGTTGTAACATGGAGCAACAATATGATCCACACTAGTTAGATTCAACCGGTGGTATGTACTGAGTAGCGCTCGTCGAGCTTATTCGTATGAGCGTAAGCATGAGGATGTGACTATAATTATTATTGTGACTTTGAATGAACTTGGAGCACAGAGAGTGTGGGCCAATGGCAACGGACGGCTTCCTTCCCATTCAGGTAATGTACTGCTACCAAGTCTGCTAAACACTGTCATGATAGGTTCACTTCGTTCCACCGCCAACTCATGTAGAAGCTTCGGGTGAATAGTAACTCATGCCCAGGTGCTTTAGGGCTCAATTATTGCAGCATCATAAAGACTTGCGTCTCTACCACACTAAATTCAGCTAAGAACCAGGTGTGGCTCAGGGAACAAATACAACGTTAGTCAATGCGATTTCACGTACTGCAGGACTAGTTAATACTAGTTCGAGACGGTGCACGAAATTAAGCGCGGATATCAGAAGGCAATTGGAGTCGGACACAGCGGACTGTATCCGATGGGCTACAAGAAGACGCGGACGGATGAAGCGAGACAAGAACGAACACCTGAGCACGGGAACTTACAAGGCGGTCGAGTGTTGAGCCGGTTGTAAGGAAGAGTAAAACAAGAAGCATGTACAATCGGTCAACAATTTAATTGTACATGAAAACTGGCAGTTATCTTTCTGGGCGCTACAGAGCTCCCCCTCTAGAAGGCTGAACATAGAAAGTCTTCGATTTCGAAAAGGACTGTTGAATCCAGGTTCGTAAAGCAAAATCGTGCCGCGGAAAAATGAGCGAGCGTTCGTGTCAATTGGGAGTTCGCCGGAAGTCGGAGTTCGCTGTGCCGTTTGTGATTTGTTATTTATTGATCGCAGGGTAGGGTGCATTTCGGCGAGCCGTTGGAGCGGACTTGTTGGACTACAAAAAAAACTGGCTAACCCAGAAAAAGGCCCAGGATCTCAACCTTCGCTGCTGCCAAACGGTGCGTTTGGGAGTGGTCTCTCCCCCCCGCCGCACCCCGCCCCGCGCCAAAACGACCCTCGTCCCAGAGAGAAACGACCATCGCCCCACGAAGAAACGACCAGCGTTCGCGTCAGGATCCTCAAAAACATTCCTTGTGAGAGCCAGTTGAGCGAAGGGGAGGGTTGGGGCATGTAGAGACGAGAAAATATGAAAACATGCACAGAAAACGAAGAAAAGAACGAACAAACGATCTGCGTGTTTAAATTTTTTGGTTTTTGTATATTTTTAAAGCCTTTTGGAAGTTTTTGACATTTTTTGTTTACAAAACGTTATTCGACCAAAAATGAGGCAAATATATACAATAGCTACAAAGTTAAACGTATGTACACTGTGCATAGTCGGAAAAACGAACGGGCTCACGCACCTCCCGACAACGGCAATTGGTCGTGGGAAGCGGCGGGCTAGGTTCGGGAGAGGTAGGGACGGCTGAAGCTTGTAGACCGAGATCGTGGTCTGATTGAATTGCACTAGGATGCTGAAAGCTGGTGCAGTGAGTTGTGACGTCGCACGGAGCACTACTAGACGAAGTAGGCGAGGTGGTGGTGGCTGGCTTGCCGAACAACCTCCTCGTGGTGCCAGCTGGGTGGTTCGGGATTTTCCCGTTCCAGCAAATGGTTCGGCGGCAGTGTTCCAGGACGTGGTGGGTTTTCGCCTGGCAAGCGTTCTCCCTATAAAAAGCCACATATGTCCGTTTAACAACACTGTGAAGTGGCGGACGTGACTCGCCACTAAATAAAGTCACTGCCCCTTGCTTCATTCTGGCGAAGCATTGTATTCCAGCAACCTTATGCTGTACTTCTGGGGAGCATTGGGCCCCTGTTTGACAAAGGAACAAACAAAAGGCGTATGAACTGAGCAATCAGTCACCGGCTCCCAATGGGCGCGATTCCCTGAATTCGCTCCGCTGCCTTGCGGGCAGGCTATTCAGCCAAAGGCTCGGGGTGGTGTCCCCTAAGTCAACACCCTACTTCGGCTTGGGCAACCGGGTAGTATCTCGCCCTCTGAGGAAACCATGGACATTGTTGTGTTGTGTTTTATTTTACTGTTTCTGTACCTTCGTTTGAATACCATGGTTTCTGATGGCATTATGTCTGTTAACAGACTTTTGCAAATATATATATATATATATATATCCATAAAGGTGAATTTTAGACGGTCGATGGTGACGACTTCACATCGACCGCCGCGGTCAATAGTGTACGCCTTACACGCACGGTCCTATGTACGGCGACTGAAGAGGTTGTCAAACACCGTCTGCGCGTAGAAGGACGTGTGAACACGTAGACAGCTTCTCGGGCACGTACACTGGTGTCTTCTGCGCTCGAGGAGCGGCTGGACTTAGCTCACGCATCTGGTGAGCCAATCGACCCGTGTAACTTCTGTAGTCAAAAGTGGAAGTAGATGGGGCTGGTGCTCCCAGCTGTCCGGGCAACCGCAGCGTGCAACCGTAGACTAGCTGCGCCGGTGTGGTCTCGAAACCGGTTTTAACCGTGTTTCTTAAGCCTAGGACCTAGGAAGAACCGTCGGTAAAAGTTGGCAATCCCAACAAAACGCCTGAGCTGTTTGAAATAGTGGGGCTCGAGGTAGTCGATGATGGCACCACGCCTGCAGATGAGATACGATGGCCGAGGAAGTTTACTGAGTCGAGACCAAACGAACACTGCGTTGATCGTCACCCCGTGTTGAGATAAACGATCAAAAAGTGTTCGTACGTAGCGCGTGTGCTCTTCACGTGAAGAGCTCGCGAATAAAATGTCGTCGAGATAAGCGTAAGCAAAGTCTAAGCCGCGACAAACTTGATCGGTGAAGCGCTGAAAAGTTTGCGCGGCATTCTTTAGACCAAATGGAATGCGCAGAAACTCGAACAAACCAAATGGAGTTGTCACGGCAGTTTTAGCTATGTCCGCTTCGGCTACCGGAATTTGGTTGTTTGCGCGTACCAAGTCGATTTTGCTAAAGATATTTTTACCCGCCAGACTGGCGGTGAGCTCCACTACGTGTAGGATCGGGTGGTGAACAAACGTGATAATCGTATTCAAGGTTCGATAATCGCCGCAAGGACGCCAGTCCCCCATGACCTTCTTCGGGACCATGTGCAGAGGCGACGCCCATGGGCTGTTGGACGATCTGACGAGACCGAACTGAAGCATGTGGTCGAATTCAGCTCGTGCTGCACGTAGTTTGTCAGGAGCAAGCCGTCTTGGTCGTACGCTAACTGGCTGACCACGCGTGACTATGTGATGAGCGACCTCCGTCGTGACTGGCGGAAACTCTGCAGCTGGTCGTACTAGTCGCGGGTATTCAGACAGTAGGTTCGCATAATCTGAAGGTACAACGGCGATTCGAAAAACGGGACTGAGTATCGGGGCGTCCGTAAGAACGCCTTCGACTCCTAATTTAGTACGGTTCTGTAAAAGTCTGTGACGACTAGCATCAACAAGGAGGAAGTCGATACCGATAATTGTGAGGGGCACAGACGCAACCATGAAGACCCACTGAATATCTCGGGGAAGATTGAGGTCCAGGTTCATCATGCGCTGACTGAATGAAGCTATCGGAGAACCGTTGGCCGCACGTAAATTGTACGTAGGCTCTCAGTGCTTGTCATTAGCGGTCGCTGGGATGACGCAGATATTTATTGCATTCTAGAAGTTCTAGTTACATTCTAATTCTATTCTAGAAGTTACCGTTGCTTCACTATTTTGCTCTAGAATTCTTTGGATTATACTAAAACCTTTTTGTACTGTTTCCACCTGTTTGTTTTAACACACGCTAAACGCCTCCGGGCATTTTACATACTGTTCGTATTATGCACGGTAGACAATCTGTTTCCACCAATTATCTTTTTCAGCTGCGAGGTCCCTGTTCTAACGGGTATCGCGGATTATTAAAATTGCTTTATACTCACTGCAGAAGATTCACTATGTCTGCGATTGATTTGGCAAAAAGGAAGGCTTGTGAAGCTGCGGTCGAAGATTGGCTTCAGGTACACAAATTCACTCAACCCCTATCTTTTTTTATTATCTTCAGAATGAGCAGGTGGTCGGTGTGGGTAGTGGCTCCACTGTAGAGTATGCTGTGGAGGCAATTGGCAAGTACATTTAGCCTCATATCTTCATAATCACATCAGCCAAAAAAATCAGACAGGCGCATTGGCGCATTAAATGTGTTCCATCATCCTATCAAGTACATATGCTCGTCTCTCATGTATTTTAGGCTAGAGAGTTGCTGATAAAAAACAATGTTGAAATGACCAGCCTTGACGTGGATGAACATGTAATTCACCTTCACTGTAGTGCATATTTTAGCTGGATGTTGCTTTTGATGGAGCTGACGAAGTTTGCGAAAACTTGACTCTTATCAAGGGCGGTGGTGGCTGCCTGCTGCAAGAGAAAATTGTTGCATCGTGTGCGAAGGATTTCATTGTTCTCACTGATGAACGGTAGGTTGAACAGGAACTCGAAATATTCGTTGTATCTTATTTTTTGGGGCTAGTTAGATCACTCTCCACCGTGACTTTCATATACAAACAGTCTTCGCGTCCTTGACCATTGCTTTATGCACGTTGACTTAGCAAACGTTTTCGGGTATTTTTCACCGCGTTAACCCGAGGGATGTTTTGTGGGCAAGTATATATATATATATATATATATATATATATATATATATATATATATATATATATATATATATATATATATATATATATATATATAATTGCCCACAAAACATCCCCCGAAGGAATAAGGCCGGGAGGCCTGTGGATGGGAGCCACGTTTCCTCAACTGAGCCGACCCACACTCCTTCACAGACGAACACAAGCACGCTGTATTTGGGGAATCAGTCGCACACAGGGCGGTGGCTGGACCGTGGTCCGCTCCACACTTAGTGCATGGAACTACTCTTCGAGCCTAGCATGGCCACAGGGACCGTGCACTTTATCCCCTTCAGCAACGACAAACTGTCTCCTGGAGCCAGTATGGACGAGGTAGTCGGTAATAGACAGATAGGCATCTTGTCATCATTCACATTACGCGCAGCCACATCGGGAATGTCATACAATAGCCAATCGCTTAAAACGACATCATCAGATAAAATATATCTGTTAAAGTATACGGATATGCCGACGTAACTAAGCGCTAAATTAGCATATGAAGTAAGTTGGTTAGCAACGAATCTGCGATTAGCACATAATGTCCACATGTTATCCAACAATGTTACAAACGCGATAAAGTTGACGAAGATAACGACAAGTACCATAAGCATCGTGTGCAAGTTAATAGAAGACTAGTCAGGTAGGCAGAACAAACCAAATAAGGTGGAATGAAATTTATCCAGCTTAAAAATTCATACTTTAAGTGTAAGTTGATTTAGCCCAGTTGCGGTGTAGAAGCATGATGAATGCAACATCAGCCTCAGAATCATGGCGGAATAAGAAAACAGAATGGGAAAAAGGAATATTCACCTCTTTTGTCTAGTTTTTCACTCAATTCTTGAATTTTTCTAACTGCACTTTTATTGAGGAATGTAATACGCAGAGATTCATCTTAGGCACTGACCTCGGTCTAGAGCCATGACTTCCAGGCTCTCCATCCAGCGACATTATCTCTGAACTCCCGACCACGGAGTCGATAACAACCGAACGAGTCCAACCGTTTCCTCAGTTTTTTCATGTGGCTTCTCCAAGTTGTAGCTTGCACAACGCGCCGTCTCCTCCGGCCCTGTCCAGTAACCGCGGACGACGCCTGACGCGGAAGACAATGAGAGGGTCATGCGCAGTACGTGTCCAAGCCGCCGCAGCTGACGCACCGGGACGAGCTGTTCGAGTGATTGAGTGCCTCTACCCACGACACGCTGTCCGACTTCCATATGGGTTAAGTGGTGTAGTCACCATACACGGGCAATGGACCGCAAAAAACGGTCCTCGAAAACAGAGTCGGCGCAGGTTAACGGTACGAATAGGCCAAGTATCGCAACCGCACATCAGTACAGAGCGAACAATCTCACAATAAACCCCACTTTTTGTGGAGATACAGATATCATGGCGGCGTCACAAGTGCCTCAGCTTAGAGAAAACGAGGTGAGCTTTTGAGACGCATCGAAATCTCGTCTCCACCAGCTCCACCAGCAGTGAGACAGCTTCCCAGATAGACAGAACTCTCCACAGCCTCCAGTGTTTCACCACCAAGAGTGAGTGCAGGTACAGGCATCTGAAAGTCTGGAAAAAGTGCTTTGCACTTGGATGGGGAAAAGCCATCCCATACTTTGACGCTTCAATCGCCAAGCGGTTAAATGCAAGTTGGACGGCCTGTGGACCGTCACCCAGCAAGACGATATCGCCAGCGTAGTCCAAGTCAGTAACGGCTACCTAGGAGGAGCTCAACGCCAGCGTTCAAGAAATCTTTCAGAGCATTTTTGAGGACAGCCTCAATGGCAAAATTGAATAGAAATGGGTAAGAGCCTCTTTGTCGAACTCCACTGGTGACAACAAGGGGAGGCGAGAGCTTGCTATAAGCTCTAATTTTACCCAAGGTCAGACTACACATAGCATGCAGTACGGGGACGCCATACTACAACAGACAGTGCCACAGTTCAGTCCTGGCGACAGAATCGAAGGCAGCACGGATATCTAGGAACACGGCAATCATTGGCTTTTGATACATATGGCGGAGCTCGAGGATCTAGCGGAGTGTGGGAATTTGATCGATGCAGCCGCGGCCAGGGCGGAACCCAACCTGTTCTTTTCGCTGTAGTGATTCGGGAGTTAGGGGTAGCCTTCGAGGTATGATAAACATCAGAGCCTTGCAAACGATAAGAATCAAGCTGATAACCCTGTAGTTGGAGTACATTGTGCACAGGTCCTTTTTGACAGTGGGGACGACTATCGGCACACTGAAAGGCAATGGAACCCCCTCTTTCAACCAGACTTTTGAGAACAAAGCAGTGAGTTCTCAAACCAGCGAATAGTCACCAACCAGCTCCATCGCAATGAGGCTGGACCTTACCGTGGTGCGATGGTTTGTGTGCCTCCGTGATCCATTGAGCTATACTGGGTGGTGCTTTTGCACCTTCAGAGCCACTCATACCAGATTGGTCAATGGTCAGAGGCCAGACAAACTCAGCCTCCTGGTCCTCCAGGTTGGGGGTTGGACTGTGGTTGGCACCTTATCTTTAGAACGGACTCCTTGTAGTCCAGTGCCAAACCCGCTGCCTTGCGGCCAGGTTTTCGAACCAAAGGCTTTGGTTGAGAACCCTAATCGTTCTCCTGTCTAGGCCTGGGCAACCTGACAGTATCCTGCCCACGCAATACAATGAATCTTTCCCCAAACAAATTTCTGATGCTCTGGCCGTCGCAGAGGATAATCAACGGTGCCCTATCTGCTGCATCGAGCAGGGTGGATAGGGGTTTGGATGCTACTGCTCAAGCTTTCCCATCTTCTTATTCCCCTTCTTGCGCTTTTTCACCCTTATCGTCCCGTTCCAGCTTCACCTTTATCCCCCTGTTTTCAATCCCCCGATTCTCGGCCCTCCCCCACCTTGCTTCACTAATCGCTTGTCTTTTAGTTTCAACTCACATGTGAACGCAGAGCGTCATTCTGCACTGTCAACAGGCCTATGTCCAAGCAAGCGGTCCATTCCAGTTCATCGGCTTCCATTTGGAGCCCTCGATCCTCCTTCAGACTGGCATGCCTCAATGTTCGCACATTGCTTCAGATCGGTCAAGAGGCAGCACTTGCCCGAACATTAGAGACCCTCTCGATCGATATCTGCTGCTTATCAGATACCCGCCTGCAAGACTTCAGCTGTGTACTCACTCTGCGATCCCCTTCAGGTGACACTAGCAGCACTTCCTCGTTGCGCCTATCCGGTGACGATACAGCTTCGAGCACCGGCCAAGCTGGTGTTGGTATTGCCCTGAGTCTCCCTGCTGAAGCTGCTCTGGTTGATTGGATTCCAATCAGTAGCCGGATGTGTGCGGTCCGATTGGCTGGCTCGTTCAAAACTTCGAAGTCGCGTGGGACTAACAGGTGTCTATTCGTTATCGCTGCCCATGCACCAACAAACTGTAGCGATGACTCGGTAAAAGACGACTTCTATCGCCAACTGAACGAACTGCTTCGCCACAGAAGAAGCATGGACACTGTAGTGCTGGCTGGGGATCTGAACGCTCAAGTTGGAAAATTATCCACAGATGAGCTGCATCTGGGCGGCCAACATGGTATAGGCTCCCGTAATGATAACGGTGAGCGGTTGCTTCATTTGTGTGAGGATGCTCGTTTATTTCTTGCGAGCACTAATTTCCGACACAGCACCCGCCGGAGGGTGACTTCGCGCCCACCAGCCTCGAACCAGCTATGGACGCAAATCGACCACATTGCGATAAGTTACCGATGGAGAGGCTGCGTCCAGAACTGTCGCTCGATTTGGAGCACTTGTGTTGACACCGATCATGCACTTGTATGTGCTGACCTGCAGATGCGCTTTGGCGGACGCCCGCGACGATGTGAGCGCATTGACACCGGCAGGCTGGTGAAGCCAGCTGTTCTGAACGCCTATCTAATTACGCTGTCATCCGAGTTGGATAAACGCTCACTGGATGCAGTTGAAGCTCACCGGTCTCATATGCCACAGGCCTTACTAGCAGCAGAAAAATCCTCATGTGGTATGTCTAATCGCCAACATGAACATTGGGTCTCTTCACACTCTCTGGAACTTATAGATGCTCGCCGGCATATTCCGGCTGGAAGCGAACACAATGAAACTCGCAAAGAGCTCCGGGCAAAACTCCGTGCTAGCCTGAAGAAAGACCGCGAATTCTGGTGGTCTTATCGTGCAACAGAGATGGAAATGGCCGCTGCCCTTGGTAACCATCGTGAGTTATTCCGTCTGATACGGGAAACGGGCAGCAGGAGACCTGGTGTTAGTGAAACAATTTTTGACGAGAGTGGACAGCCTGTTCACAACTTATCAAAACGCCTGGAACGTTGGGCTGAGCACTTTTAAAAGCAATTAAATCGGTCGGAATTGTTGGATTTCTCGCCGACCAGTGATCGCCCTCCTCCGTGGACTGTTCCTTTGGATCCACCCTCTCGCTCAGAAGTCGAACATGAGATCGCACTGTTGAAGTTAAATAAAGCCGCGGGACCTGATGACCTTCCTCCAGCCCTCTTCAAATTCGGGGGACCTGCTCTTGTGGATGATTTACAAGAGTTACTAGTCAAACTGTGGGAGCAGGAAACTGTCCCAACCGATTGCAGCCGCTCCATCATAGTCCCAATTTTCAAAGGAGGCTCACAATCGGAATGCGGCAGCCATAGAGGAATCAGTCTGATCTCCATCGCCTCCAAATTGCTTGCCTCTGTCATCCTTCACAGACTGACTGGCACTCGTGAAAGCCAGATTCGCGAAGAGCAAGCTGGATTTCGTCGAGGTCGTGGCTGC